TGCACTGATTGGGGAGGACCTCCTGAGATAAGGGAGGGAGGGAGGGTGGGGGAGGGAATGAAGGAGAGAAATACAGCTGGGATACAGAGTTAATAAAACTAACTAATAATAAAAAAATAAAATAAAAGAGTGCTGAGTGATTTGTCACCTGCATAGTAATGGATGGCACTGTTTTTTTGTTTTGTTTTGTTTTGTTTTTTACTTTCATTTGCCTTAATAGAGAAATCTTCTTTCTTTTCGTTTTCTTTTTACATTTTTTTAAATTTATTTTTTGATTATTACAATTTATTCACTTTGTATCTCAGTTGTAGCGCTCTCCCTCTTCCCCTCCCAATCTTATCCTTCTTCCCTTTTCTCTTCCCATGCTCCTCCCTTAGTCCACTGATAGAGGAGGTCCTCCTACCCTTCCATATGACCTTAGCCTATCAGGTCTCATTAGGACTGTCTGCATTGTTTTCCTTTGTGGCCTAGTACAGCAGTCCTCCCCCCAGGGAGTAAAAAGAGCAAGTCACTGAGTTCATGTCAGAGACAGTCCCTATTCCCCTTACTAGGAAACACCCTTGGAGACTGAGGTACCATGAGTTACATCTGAGCAAGGGGTCTAGGTTATTTCCATGCATGGTCCTTGATTGAAGTGTCAGTCATATAATACAGGATAAACATACTAAAATCTATACTCCTAGAGAAAATAAACAAGAAGGGAGATTCTAGGGAAGTTGCTCAATCCTCATTCAGAAAGCAAACTGGATAAATATCGGAAGAGGGAAAAAACAGGAAACCGGACAGGAGCCTACCACAAGGGCCTCTGAAAGACACTACCCAGCAGGGTATTAAAGCAGATGCTGAGTTTCATGGCCAAATTTTGGGCAGAGTGCAGGGAATCTTATTAAAGAAGGGGGAGGTAGAATGGCCCGGAGGGGAGAGGAGCTCCACAAAGAAATCAAAAGAACCAATAAATCTGGTTCCAGGGGTCTTTGCAAAGAATGATACTTTCTTTTTTTTTTTCTTTTTTTGTCTCTTTTACAAATTTTAAGGTTTGGCCATCCAGTTTATATTCATCTAAGCATTATACATCTCTTACTCATGATTGATATTCTCATCTTTCTTAAGCATTTTAAAAACAGTCCAAATTAATGCTGGAGTGACCCAAAATTGAAAAGAGACCTTTCCCTTATTTATATGCCTTTTCAATATTCTTTCAGAATCTTTTTCATGTAAATTTTCATATTCTGAAAACCAGGGATTATAATCACAAAGTACTTGAGAGTTGTGATTTTGACATTTCTGCTTCTCCTTTCTTTTAAAAATGATGCACAAACTTGAAACAAAGCAAAACCTTCTATGGTTTCTTTCCAAGTATTCTCTCACCTCCTTCTATAAGGGACACCACTCTCTTATTCCATCGCTGACTTCAAGCCCCTGTTTCATGACACTACTTGCATTACCCTATAGAGTTGGTGAGACGTTGGAAAATGGAGCTAATAAAGGAGCAGCCTCCAGTCTCATACAATAGCCAACTTTATTCAGAATATCAGACCTTCTATAGCCTGGGGATTATAAAATGTCACTTGCATAAAATTCTTAAGAGTTAAAGCTGTTTATAATTACAAGAACAAGCTGCTCATGGCAAAAACATGTTTTTTCATAGAGGCATATAAACAAATAACAGTAGCCAGTTGTAAAAATTAGTTAAAGTAAACTTGCTCCAATTCATTATACTTGGGAGGAACACAAACAGCCCATTCCAAAAACAGTTCCGTGTTTTTGAAGAAACTGGGATTCCAAGACTCTTGTTTTATTTTCTTGGAGTGTTCTCACAAGCACTCAGAATTTCCCTCGTATGACTCTATTCTTGGACCATGTTCCAACATACTTCACCTCCTATACTCTTCTTTTGTGGTGTGTGTGTGTGTGTGTGTGTGTGTGTGTGTGTGTGTATGTGTGTGTGTGTGTGTTGTGACCCAGTAAGTTTTATTAATGTCTCCTGCATGAGAAGAGGAGTAAAACTTTCGACTGGAGCATGAACACCTTACCAGTACTAATGAAGAGTATGATTCCTCCTCACCTAGGAACCATTAATAGGAAACAGCTCCCTGGGGAGGATTTGGGACCTATAGGCCCTCTTTCACCCAAGATAGAATGTCAGAGACCCATGATTAAACAGATTATATTCCAGTAATAATATTTTATTAAAATAAATATTGTTGCCAGGCCACAGAGGAAGAGGATCCAGGCAGTCCTGATGAGACTTGATAAACTATGGGCAGATGGCAGGACAGAACTCCCCCTTTCAGTGGACTAAGGGAAGGGGATAGAGAGGAAGTGGGAGGTATGGAAGGACATGGAGGAGTTGAAGGAGGGGGCTTCAGTCTAGATATATATTGAAGAAACTGTAAAAAAGAAAAAGAAAATTGCTTTAGATACATCAAATATCAGCGTTTATCCATATCTTGGGGCACACATTTCAATGGAAGGAATTTGAGGTTGATCTTGTTATTTTTTGAGTGAAGAAAACAAAAATGAGAGTGTTTGAAAGGAAGGATGAGTCTTTTTTTCTTTTCTTAGCTAAAACAGTACAGATTTGGGTATATTCAAAGTTGATAGTTTTGTGGAAATTATAGCCCTTTATCTACTACAAATTTAGTGCTCTATTAAAATGACAAACCATATTAAGAACTATTTTTCCAATGTCAATTATAATAAATTGAGCATAACTCTGATTCAAGATTGTTCATTTCAAATGAAAAAAGTGTGTGTGTCATTTAGATAGGACACTGTTGATAAAAACCAGGACTCTCACTTCAAAGGGAAAATTTGATGTTTATTCTGTAGCCAAATTTGAGTGACCATGGCCCAGGAAACACAGAGCTAGGAAGATTACCTTAGGTACCATGTTCCCACATGGAAGCTGTTTCATAAAGTATTACAGTATTAGAGTAGAAGAATAATGAAAATGAATGAATGAAGGCAATATTAACAATCCATTGCTAGGTACATCTGCTAGGCAGGTTACAAAATAGAGTAATCTCCTTTAATGGCCTCAGATGCTTTCTTGACACTTTTAGCTTTGGGGTTGGTAGAATCTAGTAGTCTCCTAAGTTAATAGAGTCTGAAAGGTTTTATCTATTAGTCACAGAGTGTTAGTTCCACCAAAGAGTTGGGCAAGGGTTGGGTATTTAGATGGCTAAAAGAAGTACAGTATAAGATAATTAGGCTCTGCATCTGCAACATTGTGACCTCTTCATATCATTGCAGTTCTAATCAGTTGATCAGTGTTTTCACACACAGCTTCTTTCCAGAAATGGTCTTTCACAGTACATAGAATTATAGATAGTAATGCATGGGAAACACAAATAATACACGTACACATGAAAAATGTGGTTGCATTGTTCTACTTTTAAAGTGATTCAACCTTACTAATAATATGCACTTTCTTTATTTCTTTATAGTAATTTATGTTTTCCCATTATTTTTACAAACTATGATCATTCACTACACCAAAATGTTTTTGCAAAGTGACCCACTTAAAGGAGAACGGGTAGTTGTTGAAGTCCTATAAGGAAACTAGTGCCTGCAAATAGGTGTGTCCTGTTCCTGATCTGAAATGAGAACTATTCTACTTTTATCAAAGATTTACAAAGTACTGTACTTGAAGGGACAGTACCTTTCTGGTATTGTCCAGTACCATCACCGATCAGCTATTGTAGAAGAATTAAGTAAGTAGTTTCTTATTTTATTAATATAAAGCATATACTCTTAGTGATATGTACACTTTTGAACAAAGGACCAATTTCATACATATGTTCTAAAAATAACTAATTATATTCTAACAATTCTAATAATTTTTTCTCTCAAACAAATAAGTGATGAGCACTCATATATTTTCAGACAGCCTGCTGTGCATGATCAGATTGAAATATTTTAAGTTCACATATTTCCTCCCTTGTAGACTGAGTGGAAAACAGATGGGAACACACTGTGTAGAGGACACTAAATACTGAAGAAATGTACACACTCCAGTACCAGGAAGCACCAGGGTAGAAAAAAGGAGACAAAAATGCAAGTTAATCAAAAGCAGCTCCAAGGAAGATTGCCCAGGCCCTGACTGATGCATGACATAATCGATACTCTATCCCAGTGTTTAACAAGTGTTCCATCCAAAAAGTCTTCTGTAATATTTAACTTCACTTCCTTCTGTTTCAATTTATGTGCATTTCTTTTGTTCTTTTTTTTTTCTTTTTTGAGAGCTAGACAGCAGTCAGTAACAAAACACTTTGTATTCCTGTACCTAAAGGGGTTTATTTTTGTCTGCCATGCTTAAGGCTTCCCCAGTCAATGGAAAAGCAAACAATAAAAAAAATCTGATCACTCCTCAAAAGACCTGTCTAATTTGACTGCTTAATAAATAATAAGCTTTGGTACTCTACTTTTAGTGTTTATTCTCTGGAAAAAAACATAATTTCAACAGTGATGTGGAAATAATTATTTGCCTTTTTTTTACATAAAGACTCAAAAGTAGAGAGTAGGCAAGTGTGTGTGTGTGTGTGGTTTATGAAAGAGACAGACAGAGAGAAAATTTGGATCTGAAGCTCTAAAAAGAAACCTATACAATAAGGAGTCTGTATAGTACAGTAAGCATTAAGATTATTGATATTATTGATGTTAAATCTGGCATTTACATGTATCAATTACACCAATAATTTATGTTTTTCATGATTGCATCATGATTGCATTTTGCTTTAAAAAATGCATACTGCTTGTGTTTATGCACAATATTACAGTAGTATAATTCAAGGGAAATTTGAATTGTTTTAAAGTTTGTGCATTTCACAGGCACCTGTACTTATTTTCTCTGCATCAAAAGCTACATTTTAGTGACCCTGTGTACCATGCAGAAATTGATCTGCATTAAATGTGGAGTTTCCAAGGTTATATTTAAATTTAGTAATTATATTGCTAACTGTGAAGTTAATCTGAACTGCATGCATTCTTTTCCCCAGGAAACAGAAATAACAGTTCAAGCTAAACAACCGGATGTGGAAAGGCTTTTGTCTAAAGGGCAGCATTTGTATAAGGAAAAAACAAGCACTCAGCCAGCAAAGGTAATGAAGCAACCTCTAGCAATATCTATTACCTCATACTGGGTTTTGCTTCCCCCGTTGTACACTTACCATTGACATGGTCTATTTATAATCTGTGAAATAATTTGTAAGGTAATATTGGTAATGCTACAGTTGCAGAGGCAAAGCTGTCTTTTTGATCAACATATCCTATTTATATATTGTGATCTTAAGTGTATTAACAAGGCATTGCATTAAAAGACTCATTTCTGTCCTGGTGTGGTACCATCAATATAGAAAATACTATCATCTTCAAGGTAGATTAAATTCTTTAGGGCTTTATTGTTTTGCTTGCAAACCTTGCTAGTCATTATATTGTATGGTTTAATGCAAATCAAGCCATTGCTTCATGTTGTCTCCAATATCTGTAAAAAATCACAATATGGTTTATGAACTTTTCTTGCTCTGTTGTTCTTTTTATGAAAGAAAAAAACCTGCATTCAGGCTTTACTACTTTAATAAGTCAGGAATTTCTAGTGAAATGTCAGATCATTGCATCTTTCTTTAGTAAAAAGCTGGCCTGAGTGAAAGCTTTCTACCTCCTCTCTGTGTGCACATTTTGAAATCCAGGATACATTTATTGCCAGGATCTTACCTGAGGAAAAAAATAAAAAGCCAGGCCAGTTACAAACAAACAAGCAAATACCCACTCAGTGGCTTCCATTTGCAAAGGAGAAGCCAGTGATAAATGACAAAAAGATGTTAGGTCGAGTTTACTTTATTCTCTGTGCCCGTCCAAATGGTTTTGACTGTGTTAAAGGTTCCTGAGATCCTGTAATGGCAGCTAGTCATTGCTCAGTTTGGTTTCTCATTTAATGTTGCCGGCTGAGATATAGCGAGACTTACTCTCATGTTCAAAACCATTCTAAAGCAGTGCAGGTCAATACCCTCATTTTCCAGAGCCAGTCTGGCTCCACAAATAACATTACCAGAACTCAAACTCTTTCAAAAAGGTCACCACTTAGTTTCCTTGTACTTGGGCCAAAGTTTTATTCTCCAAAATTGCTTGTTTACAACACAGCTTACAAGGAGTTTTCATTACATAAATTTAAATTTGGATTTTGAACATAATAGCAAAACACCAGATGCAAAAAGGTGCAACATTTTCTACCAATATTAAAACTCACTTATTCAAGAATAAAGTTACCTCTACTTCTGAAATCTAGGAAAATAATTTACATACAGTTTGAAGTTTGATATGAATTTGATAAAAATAAAGTGTTTTTGCTGTTTGGACTTGCAGACTTAGAGGTAGTACTGAGAGTAGCAAATTTCAAGGTTGATGTGGTTGAAGGTATACAGGTTAGTTACCAGAATGGTAAAGTCCCCAGGGTGGTTTCCATGGAGACTATCATTCAACTGAGACAAGAAAAGAATAAATGGACTAGTGGATATGTCCATTTTATCTATTCTCCATGGATCTACATTATCTTAATGTCATATGGGTATGGCAATGAGTTGAGGTTTAACGTCCTTTCACAGAGTTTACAAATGTGCATTTAATTTTGTGTTGCTTTGTGCTTTTGCATAAAACATAGAAAAATCCTACCTTCTAGATAAAGATCATTTTTTTCTCATATACATATAAAATAATCAAACCAGTAATGCAAAACTTTTTGTCACCTCAACCTATACGCTCAATCTTAAGGCTGCTTGGAAAGGAACACTGCTTCTTTAAACATTAGTGTTGGTTTATCAAAAGGATGATCAATCACTCTGACACTATGTGAAAATAAAAAGCCATTTCCAACACTGAGCCCATATATTATATAATTTAAATTACAAAATTGTTCTACTTCTCCTTAAGTTTGAAACTTCTCACACATTTATTAGAAAGGAAGCAGGGCTTCCCAGTCTGGAATACTTTTAATAAGACAAGTTTTTGAGGAAGGGGTTAACCTTGGACGGGTGTATCCGAAAATAAGAAATGGAGTGACAGATGATAATTTTTTATGTATTTAAACATTTATTTTTTTTCTTCTTTATTTATTATTTTTATATTAATTACAGTTTATGTACTTTGTATCCCAGCTGTAGCCCCCTCCTTCATTCCCTCCCACTCCCACCTTCCCTCCCTCATCCCCTTCCTGCCCCTCTGTAAGTCCACTGATGGGGGAGGTCCTCCTCCCCTTCCATCTGTTCCTAGCTTATCAGGTCTCACCAGTACTGGCTACAATGTCCTCTTTAAAAGAAAAATAAGGAGTCTGGGAAAAATACTTACTGCTTTTCTAGAAGACTGGAGTTTAGCTCCTAGTATACACATTTGTTGACTCACAACTGCCTGTATCTCCAGCTCCAGGTTATTGGATACTCTTTTTTGGCCTCCATTAGTACCTTCACACACATGCACTTACACAACTAGATAAGCACATATATATTTTTTAAAAAAATAAATCCATTTTAAAAATCCATATCCCTCAAGCTTATTTATGAAAGATTCAGTTGTTTTCATATATGGCCTGTCCACCATTATCTGAAATTGAGAGCTGGCCTCTCCCTACTCAATTTTCTTCATTTTGTTACAGCATTAACTTTACTAGGATTTCTTTAAAACTTTCAAAAATGGATTTTGTAACTTAAGCTAAGCAATTTCATATTTTCTTTAAGGATTCTTTGCTGAGATAAATAGTATATTGTGAGATTTAAAAGTATATAATGTAAACATCTCTGATATAAAGTTACCATAATAATTTGTATTGTCCTATGTTTGGAAAACTAAGTAAGTCTTCGCTCTGCCTGCCTCTCTCCATGCCTTTTACAATCTCTATTTTTTCAATGTATGTTCCTGTCATCCTTGGTAATACTTCTGCTTTATTCTATTTGTATATTATTTTCTCATCTTCAGAAATATTTGAAGATTAATTATATAGTTTCAGTAAAATAAAATTTTGTCAAATTATATATTTGGAGATAAGATTTGATGAGATTAATATTTTCTATACTCCATTTTCTACAAAGGAACTGGTATTTCCTCAACATCATCACTTTCACAGTAAAAGGCATCAAAATACTGTGATGAATTGTGTCCTAGGAAGGATGAAAAAGAAGGGTTGCAATTATAGGCAAACCTGTGTTTGGAAAGCAAATTTAAGGACAGTATTGTCTGTATAGACAGACCCTATTAAAAATATTACTCTTATTAGTGACAACAATATTAACACCTGCAAAATAAATGATCTGTCATTTTAATTGTTTATTTATCTTATATTATGTACATGCATATTTTACCTGCATATATACATTTGCACCAAATGTGTACTTGCTGCCCACAGAGCCAGAAGAAAGCACTAGGTCCCCTGGAACTGGAGTCACAGGAGAAAACATCCATTATAAGTGCTAGAAACTTAATTACTTTCCCCTAGATAAGTAGTAAGTGTTTCTCAGATCTCTTTTTCCAATTCCTTTAAACATTCTTATAGTTAACCATTTAGACACTTGATTCTACTAATCATACTTACTTTAACTGTAGCTTTCTGATAAATTTTATTTAATGTGTATGTTGTTTTCTTTACAACTAAGAGAATTAATGGGATATAAAATACTGTAGCTATTTGATGAAGTAATAAGACAAGACAAATTTGAATACTAGGTTTTTCTTATATTATCAAAAATATTGGTTAGGCAAACTTTATAACATATGCAACTTAATCTTCAATGTATATTTTAAAGAGATACTACAAGTATGGTGTGACTAATTGGTCAAAGGAGTACATCACAAGTTTAATACAAAGTAATTGCTGTATACAAATGGTCAACAGAGCAATTATAAGCTCCAGACATCCTTTCCTCAGATATATTATACTAAATAATAGCATCATTAGTCATTTTCTACTACATTTGATCACAACCAATATGTTTTAATTTCTCAGTTGCTTTGCTGTTAATAACTATATTGATCTGTTTTTTTTCACACCAGTAGTAAAAATTAGAACTATTACTTTATTACCAGAGGAGAAAACACTTCAAAAAGACAATGTGCCATCTTTATCAAAGAACTTTTAATTTTAAAGAGGATGAGTAAAGTGGAGTCCATGTTAAAATTATATGCTGTGAAGGAGTCAAATCGATGATCAGAGTTAATGTAGAATTTGAGAAGGAATGAATAGGACTAAACCATATCATTGTTCAAGGAGCAACAGGTCATATTAGTAATTTCTGTGATGGCAAAGTGGTCTTGTCTCTCTGTATTGTTTCAGATCTGGTCATGCTGTGACCTTGTCTCTACTAACCTTTTTTTTCTAAGTGTTTAGCTTGTGTATCTGTCTGTCTGTTTAACTGGGATCATCATGGCCTAGCTGACTATCAGCTACCAGCAAAACTTTTTTCACATCCTCAAAGCTATTACTGGAAGCTTTATTACCAAGAATCAATAACAATTTACAATATATTAGAAAAGCTGATGTTTTCATTTTTCTTAATTATTTTTGATGAGAATAATACACTTATTTTTCCTGTTAAAAATAACCTTTCAGATGAGTTTTAACAGTTACTTTTTTTAACAGTTACTTTTTACTTCTGATTCTACACTATAAGTAATTCTAATGGTTTATCAAATGTCTCTATTTAATCAAATTATCTTAGAATACTTTAAGAAACCTACATGATTATTTGAGGATATAATCCAAATTCATTTGCTATTCAAAATAAGCAATTGAAACAAAAGTTATTATAAAGACTCAAGTGTGACCTGAGTCAGCTCAGAGGAAATATTTGAGTATCAAGGTAGGCTTGCACATTATTTCTTGCTACAACTAAGTAAGTGTTTTTAAGATTTAAATATCATCTCTAGACTTCACATGTATTAATGTATTTACAGAGGTAGACATATGAACTGTGCTGTTGCAGTGCCTACATGCATGTCTGTGTATATACAGTCATACCTGTTACCTGCCAACCAATCTCACAAGATATGACTTTAAAGTTTTAAAAATTTTAACCTAAAATGTTTAGAATGTCTACATGTTTATATTTGTAAGTTTAAATGTGTGTGCCTGCTTGTGTGTGGATGTTCACATTATATGTATACCAACAGAAGCCATAGGCTGTCTTTTCTGTCATTTATCAACCAAAATTTTTGGGACAGGTCTTTCACTGAGCCTGATACTTATGGGATCCATCTATCTCTGCACAGATGCCAGCTGCCACGCCCAGTTTTTGTTGTTGTTGTTTTGTGTTTTTTGTTTGTTTTTTTGTTTTTTTTTTAATTAACCAGGGTAGCCAATCTCAGATCCTCATTTTTCACAACAAGCACTTTCTTTTCCCAATGAGCCATCTCCTGAAAACTCCTTTAAAATTTTTAAATTAAAATCAAAATGTCTGTTTAGAAAGGGACCTAAAGCCCCCTGCTCAGATGTAGCCTATATACTCAGTCTCCAAGTGGGTTCCCTAGTAAGGGGAGCAGGGGCTGTCTCTGACATGAACTCAGTGGCCTGCTCTTTGATCACCACCCCATGGAGGTGGCCTTAAGAGGCCACGTAGAAAGAGTATCCAGATAGTCCTGATGAGACCTGATAGACTAGGGTCAGACAGTAGGGACTGTACTTGGGGAGGAGCATAGGGGGAGAAGAAGTTGGGAAGGTAGGACTGGGAGGAGGCAAGAGAGTGGGCTGCAGTAGGGATACAAAATAAATAAATTGTAATGAATAATAACAACAAACAAATTAAAAAGAAAGCACTTTTTTGTAATTATTGATGTTCTTCATAAAGAATATACTCAGAAAATGAGTTGATAACTTGATGAGCTGTTATATTGAAAATGTTTTTGAAATCAGTAACATGTATGCTTTTCTATTAAAGAGGAAGTTAGAAGATCTGAGGTCTGAGTGGGAAGCTGTAAACCATTTACTTCGAGAGCTGAGGACAAAGCAGCCTGACAGTACCCCTAGACTGACCACTATTGGAGCCTGTGAGTACACTGCATCCCATGTGTCTTCCTTTGCTTTAGCAGTTTGCTCCAAAGCACAGCTATGAGGTTTTCTCTGAGTAAAAAGGAAAACTGGTTTCTGATTCTGCAGAAAAAGGTGAACATTTATGCTATTTATTATTCAAAAGGTCTCTGAGTGGGTTTCTTGAACATTGAGAGGTTTATAAGTTGTATTTTCTGAAGCTGCAGCTAAGAAGAAAAAAAGAGGACAGGTGAGGAGAAGCTTTCTCTTTAGCATTAAAGAGGGCTGGCTTTGTAGATCTACACTGAATCTCCAGGAGAGAACCAATCCTTTGAATCTCTGCTTCACTGGAAGAAGAGTATTCATGGGAGCAGTTTTTAATTGAAGTTGAGTTAATTCTTACTATGGAAATCCAAGAAACCACTGCATCCCTAGCATTTCAGAACGGAAGTCCAGATAAAAGTTAAGTGACACCGGGGAACTGAAAAACATGAGCAAACATTGTGATGTTTATTAACATGATACACTGAAATTGCTATATCAAAGTTCTAGGGAATAAAATATGTCAGGTTTACTTCCTTATATAATATGTAATTTTTTATTCTCTCAGCTCATATGAGGTGGTCTCTAGAAGTAATTGGCCTGTTCAGTCTCAGAGTCTGTAATACTGTAAAGATACTTTATCCAATGATTTTTTTTTGTTTTTGTAATTACTTAATTTATTTTAATTACAATTTATTCACTTTATATTCCATGTAGCCCTCTCCCTGGTCTGTTCTTAGACCCACCAACACTCCCTTGTCTCTCCCTATCCCCTTTCCCTAGTCCCCTGATAGGGGAGGACCTCATCCCCTTCTATCTGCCCCTAGCCTATGAGGTCTCTTCAAGGCTGGCTGTATTATCTTTCCCTGTGGCCTGACAAGGCTTCACCCCCCACCCCTGTGGAGATAATCAAAGAGCTAGCCATTGAGTTCATGTCAGAGACAGGCACTGCCCCCCTTTCTAGGAAACAAACTTGGAATCTGAGCCCCCTGTGAGCTTCCTTGGAGCAGGGATCTAGGTCATTTCCATACATGGTTGGCCTATGGGTCTCTGTAGGACCCCCTGGGCCCTGAATGTTGGTCTCCTTGTGTAGTTCAGATGCCCTACAGTTTGTTCTATCTCCCTCTTCTTCTATAAGGATTTTAACACTCTCCCCAAAGTTTGGCTATGAGTCTCACTGTCTCTGATACCCTTGGGTTAGAGTCTTTCAAAGGTCCCATATGGAATGCTCCTGCCCTGTTTGTTGTCTTATCCTACTTCTGATATCTATTATGCTTGCCCTTCTTAGTGAGGTTTCAGCTCCTCCTTGTTGTTTAACTTCTTTAGGACTACAGATTTTAGTATGATTTTCCTATATTATATGGCTAATGTCCACTTATAAGTAAGTATATACCATATGTGTCTTTCTCTTTCTGGGTCACCTCACTCAGGATGATCTGTTCTAGTTTGCTCCATTTACCTGCAAATTTCAAGATTTCCTTGTTTTTAATTGCTGAATAGTATTCCATCGTGTAAATTACCACACTTTCTGTATCCATTCCACTGCTGAGGGACATTAGGTTGTTTCTAGGTTCTAGTTATTAAAAAGAAAGCTGGTTAGAACACAGTTGAGCAAATGTCCTAATTGAATAGTGGGCCAATTTTGAGTATATGCCCAGGAGTGGTATAGCTGGATCTTGACCAAGCACTATTCCTAATTTTCTGACACAGTACTAGATTGATTTCCAAAGTGGTTTTACAAGCTTACACTCCCACCAGCAATGGAGGAGGGTTTCCCTTTCTCAACAACCTCTCCAGCATGCATGATCTTAGTTTTTGATCTTAGCCATTCTGATGGGTATGAGGTGAAATCTCAGAGTCATACTGATTTTCATTTCCCTAATGACTAAAGACATTGAGCATTTCTTTGAGTGTTACTCTGACACTCGATATTCCATGTTTGAGAATTCTCTGTTTAGCTCTGTGGCCCATTTTTAAATTGGATTAGTTTTTTTTTGGTGTTTAACTTCTTCACTTTATATATTCTAAATATTAATCCTCGAACAGATCTAGGGTTAGTGAAGATATTTTCCAAGTCTGTAGGCTGTCGTTTTGTTCTGATGACAGTATCCTTTGCTTAACAGAAGCTTTTCAGTTTCATGAGGTCCCATTTATTGATTGTTGATCTTAGAGCCTGTGCTATTCGTATTTTGTTCAGGAAATTGTCTCCTGTGCCAATGAGTTCAAGACCCTTCCCCACTTTTTCTTCTAACATGCTTAGTGTGTCTGTTTTTATGCTGAGGTCATTGGTCCACTTGGACATTACTTTTGTGCAAGGTGATAAATATGGGTCTATTTGCATTTTCTACATGTAGACATCCAGATAGACCAGCATCATGCCATTGTTATTATTGGTGCTCTATAGTACAGCTTGAGATCTAGATAGAGATACCTCCAGAAGATCTTTTATTGTACAGTATTGTTTTAGCTATTTTGGTTTTTGTTTTGTTTTGTTTTGTTTCCATATGAAATTGAGTATTGTTCTTTCAAGGTCTGTAAAATATTGTGTTGGCATTTTGATGGGAATTGCATTGAATCTGTACATTGCTATTGGTAGGATATACATTTTCATTATGTTATTCCTACTGAGCCATCTTTCTGTCTTCTGATACCTTCTTCAATTTCTTTATTCAAAGTCTTCAAGTTTTTTGTTTTTCTTTTTTTTTTTTCTTTCTCTTTTGTATACAGGAGGGCTTCTGATATGTTTTTTTTGTTTTGTTTTGTTTTGTTGTTTTTAGTTAATGTTGTATACAGCCATCTTTCTGGAGGTGTTTCTCAACTGAAGGGGTTCTCTAGTATAAATTTTGGGATCACTCATGTATATTATCATTTCTTTTTTTTTGAATTTTATTTTTTTCTTATCAGTTACATTTTATTAAATCTGTATCCCAGCTGTGTCCCGATCCCTCATTCCCTCCCAGGCCCTCCCTCCCTCCCTCCCTCATCTCCACTGTGCCCCTTGCCAAGTCCACTGATAGGGGGGACCTCCTCCCCATTCATCTGATCCTGTTTTATCAGGTATCTTCAGGACTGGCTGCAAAGCTCTCCTCTGTGCCCTAACAGGACTGATCCTACCTTGGGGGGTGGGGAGGCCAAAGAGCCAGTCATTGAGTTCCTGTTAGAAATAGTCCTTGTTCCCCTCACTATGGGAAACCAATTGGTTACTGAGCTACCACAAGCTCCATCTGAGCAGAGGTTCTAGGTTACATTCATACATGGTCCTTGGTTGCATGTCAGTCTCAGAAAAGACCCTGTGCCCAGATATATTTTGTCCTTGTGGAACTCCTATCCTTTCCTCATCAGACTAACTCCCCTTCTTTCTTATGATTCCCTGTACTCTGCCAAAGGTTTGGTCATGAGTCTTTGCTTTGAAAACACTGCTAGTTAGAGTCTTTCAAATGCGCTCAGTAGACTCCTGTCAATGTTCAATGCGCATCCCATCTGTCTTTCAAACAGAGGATTGATAATCTTACCCCATGTCTGCTCTCTTGATTATCTTTTTTAGGTGTATAGATTTCATTATGTTTATCATATCTTATAGGTCTATATAAGTGAGTATATACCGTGTTTGTCTTTCTCCTTCTGGGATATTTCACTCAGTATGATCTTTTCTAGATCCCACAATTTGCCTGCAAATTTCATGATTTCCTCGTTTTTGATTGCTGAGTAGTATTCCATTGTGCAAAAATACCACAATTTCTGTACCCATTCCTCCGTTGATGGACATCTGGGTTGTTTCCAGGTTCTGGCTATTACAAATAAAGCTGCTATAAACATGGTTGAGCAAATATCCCTTTTGTGTACTTGAGCAAACTTTGGGTATATACCTAGGAGTGGTATAGCTGGGTCTTGAGGAAGCACTATTCCTAATTGTCTTAGAAAGCGCCAGATAGATTTCCAGAGTGGTTGTACCAGTTTACATTCCCACCAGCAGTGGAGGAGGGTTCCCCTTTCTCCACAACCTCTCCAGCATGTGTTGTCCCTTGAGTTTTTCATTTTGGCCATTCTGATGGGTGTAAGGTGATATCTAAGGGTCGTTTTGATTTGCATTTCCGTGATGGCTAATGAGGATGAGCATTTCTTTAAGTGTTTCTCTGCCATTCGATATTCCTCTACAGAGAATTCTCTGTTTAGCTCTGTTCCCCATTTTTTAATTGGAATACTTGGTTTACTGCTTTTCAGCTTCTTTAGTTCTTTGTATATACTCGATATTAGTCCTCTGTCAGATATAGGGTTAGTGAAGATTCTTTCCCAATCTGTAGGCAGGCGTTTTGTTTTGATGACAGTGTCCTTTGCTTTACAGAAGCTGTTCAGTTTCATGAGGTCCCATTTATTGATTGTTGCTCTTAGAGCCTGTGCTGTTGGTGTTCTGTTCAGGAAGTTGTCTCCTGTGCCAATGAGATCTAGGCTGTTCCCCACTTTTTCTTCTAACAGATATAGAGTATCTGGTTTTATGTTGATGTCTTTGATCCAATTGAACTTTAGTTTTGTGCAGGGTGATAAATATAGATCTATTTTCATTTTTCTGCATGTGTACATCCAATTGGACAAGCACCATTTGTTGAAGATGCTGTCTTTTTTCCATTGAATGGTTTTGGCTTCTTTGTCAAAAATCAAGTATTCATAGGTGTGTGGGTTTATTTCTGGGTCTTCTATGCGGTTCCATTAATCCTCCTTTCTGTTTCTATGCCAATACCATGCAGTTTTTATTACTATTGCTCTGTAGTACAACTTGAGATCGGGGATAGAGATACCTCCAGATGATCTGTAGTTGTACAGGATTGTTTTGGAGATTCTGGGTTTTTTGTTTCTCCATATGAAGCTGAGAATCTTTTTTTCAAGGTCTGTAAAGAATTGAGTTGGTATTTTGATGGGAATTGCATTAAATCTGTAGATTGCTTTTGGCAGGATGGCCATTTTCACAATGTTAATCCTACCA